TATATATACATATATATATATATATATATATATATATATATATAAATTTGTATAGTATTAGATAATATATAAATTTGAAGCAGAAATTTATTTCTTAGTTTATTATTATCATAAATGAAACAGCATTAACTTTAATAGTAAAGTAATTTAAAAATAAAACTTTTAATCAAGAAAAATTACATTAATTTCCCTCATAAATTAATGATAATTTTTTATTTAAAAATAAATATTTTTATGGTTTTTACGTTACAAAACGATTTAAATCTATTATTTTTAAATTTTTTATTTCATTAAAGTTAAAGGGTAATAATGATTGTGTATATTCTTAGCAGAATAACGTAATTGTTTGTTAACATCGTTCAATAAGAAATTATAATAAAGCTATCAGTAGAACAAAGTTTTACTGAAAAACATATAATAATTAAACATTGTGTGCAATTACGATTACAACATACATCGCTTATTTTTATCCGTGTTCGTTGAAGTTGGAGGAATATTGCGAAGCTATGCTTATATTTTATTTTATTTATATTTCTACTTATACACTCAACTTATACATAATGTACAAGCACCTACTTGTAACAGTATGACAATTAATTAATAATATTGAGATTACATTAAGCTTTAAATTAAGCTCCTTAACAGGAACTTTGCGAGGAGAAAGTTTTCTAAACGTTATTAGAAAAAAGTTGCACCAGTGATCAGTAGCATCGAAAAAATTTAATATACAAAGGATCTTATGCAATAACTTAATCTTTTTTTTACATTCAAACATCTTTTATGTTAATTAGTTGTTGTGATTTTTTATATGGGCCCAGTAAAAAATTGCGTAAACTAGTAGGCATAAGAAGACAATTTCAATTTTATTTAAATATTACGATATTATTATTTCAAATTTCTTGACAAATATTATTGATGTTTCGATTCATTAATCACTCTTCAACTTTTATTCTAATACATCATTAGGTTGATATAAATTCTTTAACAAAGGAAATCATTTTTAAAAGAATAAGGCGAGAAATTAAATAAAACATTATTTCATCGTTTAATAAACATGATTATCGTGCCAAAGTATTTAAAAAATTAATCTATCATAATTTTTAGATAATTAATGACAATTTAATTTTTAATTAAAAAAGCGCGAAAGTCATGTATGCTTACTCATGTCTTATTCATAAGTGCAATAGTCATATGAAATTAAATATAATGGCGCCGAATCATTTATATTAAATTACTTTTTTGCTATTATATTTTTAATATAATATTCAATTTATTAATAATGTACTCAATCTTTTAGATTATATTATATTATATTTAAAACTATTTTATATTCATATGTGAATGCGGGCGTACGTACGTGTGCTTATTTACTTACAGTTTGTACAATTTTAAATGGAAAAAGTAAAATACCGCAGTATATTGCAGTTACGATTATCGAAAACAAAAAATTATAAAAATAAACAAGCCAGTAACAAGCGCGTATACGTGTATAACATTATATATGTTCGTACATACATACATACACACATACATATATATATATATATATATATATATATGCATCTACGTATGCATATATACAATAAATCAATATACACTGCATGTATTGAATATGTATATATGTATATATACATATGCATATATATATATATATATATATATATATATGCATCTACGTATGCATATATACAACAAATACAATATACACTGCATGCATATGTATATATGTATATATACATATGTATATACATATATAATGTATCGACATATCTATATGTAAATAAACTCCAAATTATTAACTATTTTTGCATACAGAAAACACACACACACACACACACACACACACACACACATATATATATATATATATATATATTATTTTATATATATATGTTATATAATTGTTACAATTATTTAATTAACAATATAAGCAAATACTTTGCAAATACCTTAATAAAGTAAGATCATTTCGTATATAATATATATTTATATTGTAATACTAAAAAAAAAAAGTATGAATCAATAAATAACAGACATAAAATATGATTAGTTCATAGTTTTGTTTAAATTATTTATTATCCAGATAATTTATCCTTATAAAAAAAAAATTAGAAAAAAGTGACGAGTACTATTAAATATAAAAATTGTACCAAAAAGAGTTTTGCTTTGTAATTTAGTGTATTTTTTTGGTTTGTTTAAGTAATAATTTTATAAAATAGAGAATTCTCCAATATTAAAATAGTTACGATTATTAATAAAAATATGCTTCTCGTGTGCTGTAATTATTTTATCTTATTTCTGTTAAATTGCACATCCACATTATGCTAATCTATGTCTAGATATTTATCTGAAAGTAAATAAGATTTGTAACATATAAATTTGCCAAATTGCCAAAATAGCGAATGGAAACCAAATTCATTTCGTCTGCTTACGTATTTCGATTACATTATCTCCAATTAATTTTTAATTTTTTGATTAATAGAAAACTAAATTTAAGGAGTGAGTCAATTGCACGCTAAGTATTTAAAAAATTTTAAATTTAAGAATTCAATGATAAGTATATAGGCACCTTTGTTGAGCCTTGATAAATGGAAATCTGATCCTGTCAGAATTCCTCGTTTGCGCGTCACTGTCCTAGCGTATTTCGTTTAATAATCGATCGATAGCGCGAGTGCAAGATGAATAAGCATAATTTTTCAATCCACATTACGAAAAAGAGAGGTGGAAGAATAAGGCAAAAAAGTTGATGGTTTAACGCGTCATTCGAATGTCTTGAATTACAAGTCCTCAAGTGCGCACCACTTAAACGTTATGTGGCAGTGACATTTCGTGGGCGCATCGACATGCATCGGGGATCTCGGTTGTTACTCTGGACGAATAAGGCTCTTAATACGCAAATTTTGTTGCTCGTACTCGTATTCTCAGGATTGGACTATTTCACTAATAATTTCTGTATTGCCGGTGAGTTTTTCCAGTTGTGCCAACGCCTGCATATTTCCATAATTATTATGTACCGCATTGTGTAGTAGTTATAGCGCGAGTGAATAAAAAACTGTGTCTTGAATTTGGAATTTGAAATAAGATAATTAGTATATTGTGCTTACTTGGAATGTTAATTAAAGTCATCGAACTTCATATGTACTTTGATGCTTATGATGAAAATCTACGCGAGAAAGCAGTTTGATATGTATAAACGGAAAATATGTATATTTTTTTAAAGCACGATGCTAATTGTCGGGAGAAACTAATTTGCTCAAAATTTGCTGTAAAATTAAATTAGAAATACTAAAATATATTTAACGAAAATGCATATAGACATATAATATGAATATCTTTAGTTTATAAACTGCATAATGTAAAAAATTTACTATATAATTATCGTTTCATTATAAAATTCTCTTTATTTTAATAATTAATTATAAATGGACTATCTATATATTTGATATATATATATATATATATATATATAGTATTTGACCATATATTTGACACAAATGCAAAAAATGGCAAATTCCTTATAAATACATGTTGCCCGTCATTTTCAATATAAAATTGAAATATTGAATAATTATGTATTACGAATTTTACAATTAACACTAATAATATTCTAATTTAATGTCGTTAAATTCAATTCAATTCTCCATTTCCTACATTAAAAGTATATAAATATTTATTCATGAATTTGCGTTATCCAATAGAAATGAGAATTATATCTTTGATAGTGGCGCTGCTCAAATATTAAAACAGAAATATTATTATATCAAATGATAAAATTAAGTGTGTGAAATAAATGTTGATTTACGTCTAATGTAACATATTTGACATATTTTACAAAGAGAATCTAATCATTTATCTAAATTGTACATTATTACATTCGCATACCTTATTACCATTACACAATGAAATATTATGATTGTGTTGTATTATCTTTAGTAAAATTTAAATACCAAAAGATGAAGAAATTTTGTGTAAATTTCAGTAAAAAATTTTCCCAAATATTCGGTGATATTTTAATATTACTAATAATAATAAAGAACAAGAAAATTCATACACTCCATTAGAATGAAATTCGTAAAAGAAAAATCACTTAATTATTCTTGTGATTTAAGGTGGAAGCTCTGATGCAAAAGCATGTCAACAAATAAACTGTAAAAACAGAGAGGAGTGTGTGACGAGAAAATTTTGGTGCGAGCATTCGCCATGTCCAAGCATAACTTACTGTTCAAAATCAAAGAAAGGTTGGAAAATATTTTTCATACTTTAATACCGTCGTAATGCCAAATATTATAATCGTGTTTTGTAAGTATAATCTATGTGTTTGTCTGTTTATCTTATTTAGACTCATTGAAAGGTCCTGAGAATTGCGATTCGGTCCTATGCACTGCAGGATATACATGCGTCGTTCAAAATCGTGATTGCGAATGGAATCAAAGTAAACACTTCATTTTATAATTACCATTCCTCACATATGAACAGCCAATAATATTGAAATTAGTTAATATGATGTGTTGACAACTTTTACTTGCATTGCATTATACGATTACGAATGAAATTTAGAGATTAACTTTCAAAAAGCAAGTACAATACAGTAGAATATACTTAATACAATATAGAATAAAAAATCTTTATCATACATTTGGGATTTGTTAATTCTTATATAATTTTAATTAACTAATTTTAATGTGTTTTAGTGAAGCAAACATAATTAATTGTAATATTATAATTATTTCAAAAACAAAAAGCAGATGATTAGAGAAGAAAGAAAGTAACTTGTGTCACGTGTGTTTTTATTCGTTAAACAAATTATCGTAAATTCGAAAGGTGTTTCCTAACATATTTAACACTTCCGGCTAGATATATAACATTAATATATAATAAGCTACTGTTTGTTGTTATACATGGCTAATGATACAATTACGTATTTTTAAACGATCATTATTTATCGTAAAACAAAGAAAATAATATGAAAGTCAGTATGCTGAAGTATATGTAGCATATAATTTTTAAAATTTCGACATATAACTTTTTATTAATTTAGGCGGAAAATGAAAGTACAATATTATTAATTCCTACGCTAAGAATATAAAAATATATATATATATATAATATTAGTGGTTCTAACATTCTACTATAATTTATGAAAATATCTAATTTCTCAAATTTAACCACAAAAAGCTAGAGAGATTAATAATATTTAATGTAAGCTTATTATTCCATTACGGACTTGCACATAAATAAATCAATCACTTTTTACAATTAACATTACATAAATATTCATATTCGTAAGCTACATGGAACATCATGACCAATTTTAGTACAAATGTTTATTTTGGATTTAAAAAAATTAAAAAAAATTTTTTTAAGTAAATACAAGCGATATTATATTGTATTAAAGTGTTATTTGAATTTTTATAATGAAAAACATGAGATAAAAACTGATAGAATAAAGCATTAAGTTAAACTAGTTTAATCTAGAGGAGTATTTGTCCGATTAAATTATTACATAAATTAGAGTAAAATTGAAACCTAATTAATAATAAAATTTTCATTCGTAATTATATTGAAAATACTTAATAAAATTAGCAAAGAATTGACCAATATCAAGAGAGTACGAATATAACAAAAAATTACCTATAATCTATAAATAGAAATACTCCAAAGTATTAAGTGTGTAGTATAAAGAAAAAAAGATTTTTTTTTTAATGAACCGCATTAAAACAATGAAAAAAAAAACAATTACTTTTAAATACTAAATTTCATTCAACATTTGAAGAAGTATTTTTATAAACTTTTAGTCATATAAGAGCATGAAATTGAAAAAGAAAAAACTATTACGAAACACAAGAGCTTAATTTTAAATAGAATAATTGAGCTTTCAAGTATTATTGCTCTGATTAATTAAAAGAAAAAAAAAATTATAATTTAGAATTTGATAAGCAGTTATGATAAATTAAATACGAAGAAGTAGCATCAGTTTTTATATTTTATAAACATGTCTTCGTTATATTAAATAAAGAATTATATCCGATGAATGAACGAAATGGATTACTAATCTATTCTTTGAAAAGTGAATAAGGTATATAGCAATAATTATTCTGATATATCACGTGTCATTGCGAATACGCCATCTAATGTTTTATTATTATCGTAAATTATATTTTCTATTCAAAAGATATTATTGTACATTATCAATGTAAAATTCAACATATTTAAACTAAGAAATGATAAAACAGTCTCTAGTTAGATAGTCATTGAAGAAAAATAGAAAATTTGATTAGCAATGCAATAATTTTCCTATTACTTAAAAATAATATACAATTAAAAAAAAAAATCCTTTAAATTAATGAAATTATAAAGAATAAGTAAAATTAAAACGCGCATTATCAATGAAATCAAATCAAAGTTGATTGAATGATAAATATTTTTTTATATTATACATATTTTAATTTATTTTATATGAATAATTTAATATAAATTTATTAAATGATGAAGTTATATAGAAAAAATTTTTTCAGTTTACAAACGAATTCCAGAAAATCGAACATCATTAATTCATAGTAGAAATACTGTTTGCTCTATTACAACAGATTATTATTGTTATATTAACGAATGAAATAAAATTTGAGAATAAAATTAGAATTTGAAACAAAATTGTTATGTCATCGGGTATATTAAATTAAATTATTTAAATTATTATTAGACTATTAGTACTACAAAATAATGAACATATAAGATGTTTGAAAGACAGAAACGCATGTAAAAATAATGCAATTACGAAGCACGAATCATAGGAAAAGTAAAGTAGATCATACGTAGAGGTGCCGATGTCCCGATGTGTAAACGTATAATAAAAACGACAAAACGTAGTAGAAAAGTTTGTAATGAAATCTTTGTTTAAGAAACGCGAATTAGGAGTATAATTATTAATGGCTAAGATTGAGAAGGAGATGACCGTGGATTTAGTAAACTCCAGGCATGGAAAGTTTGTCATACATGTTATCGATCTGGTGATTTTGGGCGAGTTAGTAATGATTTTCTATAATTCTCAATGCCGTCTTTTCTCAATTCTCAACGTCGTATCGACAATCGCGCTTCACTTAGTAATTTCCATCGTTGAACGATTAAATAAATGTATCTTGAATTAGAAAAAAAAAAAAAAAAAAAAACAACCTTTAAAGTGAAACATCGTAGGCAACGTCGCTTAGAACCGATTGGCGAACGGATTTCGGAAAAACTTTGACCAATTGGATCGACGAATAATGATCGATGAGGACGCCCTATCGACGGCTCGTTCGATATAACAAAGATCGGGAAAATGCAAAGTGAAACGGCACAAAGGAAAAAAAGGTATCGTCGCGGACGAGGCATTAAGCAGGAGCGAGTTTACTCCTCGCGGTCGCTCCCCAACGTTTTCCATATGAAACCGAGGAGACGAGGTAGCGTGAGAGGCTGCCATCCCTTCCCCTTGCCGTCCGAGTAGAGAAACGAAAGTATCAGCGTTGAGTCGAATTAGCTCGAAACGCCTCCGCTGACCTTTCACCGCGAGTCCCGCAACCGCTCTAAAGTACCTTTCTTTCTCGGAGGTTTTATGCGCACCGAGTGCAAGGAGCACACCGCCAGATGCGTCTCCGAATGGGAATTGAAGATCAACTCGGTCAGCTGCCTGGACTCCAGCTGTCCCACGGACCACCGGTGCATCCTCAGGGAGAGCCAGTGTAACCAGGCACCCTGCAAGCTCACCAAGACCTGCGCCTTAGCCACAGGTTCGTGTCCAATCTTCTTGTCTTCCAATGACGTGGGATGAGCTCGAAAGCACCCTTACGTCACTCCTCTCTTCACGATTCTCGTGAATAGTCGGTAAAATTAATGAGCTTATCTCGTAATGCGACTGGCGGCTATCGCGATATGGATTATCGAATCGTCGATAATGCTAAAATGCAGTTGTCCGACGTAATCGAGGATTATCGCAAGCATTATCCGACAGTTCTGAGACTTCTAGCTAAGTTCTTTGGCATAAATTAAAGCGATAGTGCAAGCGAAGTTAATGAGGCTGGGCTGTCCCTTTCTATCTGGCTTTAGAATTTGCTATATGGAAAGATGAGTCGGGTCGGTATGAGTGCAAGCTATACGTGGGTGAGATATTAAGTAATAAAAACAAGTAATAATTAATAGGTGAAAGGAATGGCTTTTATTTATAAGAATGGCTCAAATTTATATTACCGTTTAAAATACGGGCGTCGATCGCCACTCGCCTCTCACTCGCGCATTTGATAAACAAATAATTTTTCAAACGTAAAATAAGAAGTGAGACCTGCGCGACGACATTTTTTGTTTTGTTTTGTTTAGCTTTTGCGCTAATTTGTTAGTAAGCGCGGCACTTATGCGTTCAGAAATTGCAATGGTATGTATAAGAATTGAGCTTAAGAAATAATAATGGACATTAACGGTTATAATGATTGTTTATTTTCTTCTCGTAACGATTGTTGGAAAATATTTTTAATCGGCCTCTATGCAATTTTACATTAATTAACGGATGCATTGATCGAACGATTTAAATGTCGTTTAAGTGCACACGAATTTATGCCTCTTTGGAAGAATAAAATAAAAGAAAAAAAGAACGGCCTCGTTGAGCGTAACGTATTTTTAAAAATACTCGATGGCAATAATGTTGCCACGGTGCCACCGGTGACAATAGAAATAAATAAATCCAATTTCAATAATATCGATATTAGAATTCAATTTGAATTGAATAAGAAAACTATCGCATATTGTTGTTCGATTGTATATTCTAAGAACACAGCCCATCCCTTTCCGTACGATCTCGTATTTTAATGTGCATTACATTTCATTCATTGCAATTGGTTGTTTATATTTAATTATTACCCGTGCAATATATTATTCCCATATTATAAGATTAATGCAAATAATTTCTCCTGTTTTACGTTGAAGGCTTAATAAGATTTTTACAATCTTATAAGGTTTGATAATATCATTGAGGGCGAATTATTCATTAATAATCAAAATTAATATCTGATATATCTGATAAAATTATTCAAATTCAATAAAAGTATTAGTAAATTTCGATCACATTATACGAGAAATTATAATATCCATTATACTTGTTGTAATTGTTGATCTCAGAAATTTTATTAACATGAAATTACGACTCTTAAAATTAAAAATGTGTAACGTGTATATTCAATGCCTACATTGAACCACCTATAATTAACATTTCTAATAAGTAAAAAGTTAATTAATAGTGTTCAGTTATATTAAACCTAATGGGATGTTATTTAAAAGAAAAAAAGGGAAAAAAGGATAAAACTTGACGCGCTAAGTGAGCCAATATTATTTTCAAATTTGCCTTTGTTGATGCGGAACGATTGCCTATGCCAGTGTTATTTAAAAATAATCTGCTAAAATAATTATTTATTAATTCAGATGTGGAAATGTGGTTGGATAAATGCAAAGAATTAGGCTGCGAA